CGACGCCGAGCGTCGCGCACCGCGCACCGCGCCGGGGACGAAGGATGTTGAATTCGAAAAGTGTTATTCCGCGCGTCTATCTCTGAATGATATGGAAGGGAACGCCTCTCCCACGTGGGTGCCACGTGTGCGCTTCCGCTCTCCGCGCGCGCGTGCGAAGTGCGCGCGCGAAGAATTCGCGCGCGTATCACCCGAGTAACGTTATCTCCCTGCGTTATCATCTCCGCGAGGATCCTCGGCGTCATTTATTCCCGGGGTTCACTTAAATCGACGGAAGAAGAGGGGACCCGTCTCGGGAAATGGATCCGAAAGCGGACATGTTTGACACTTTTGAATCACCGATATGTGCTTTCTCTGCTTTTTTGTTGCCTTCTTACAAGAACATTCGTTCGGTTACTTGTTACGTTAATGCCTTATCTAATAGTCGTGTTCAGCAGAATGTTCTTTTTGCAACTGTTGGAAGTTTTCTTCTCTCTGGTTGGATTATACTTTTAGAATACTTTTAGATCCAGAGGAATAATCCTATCTCAGCGAAGAAAACTTCCAACAGTTGCAAAATAAACATCCTGCTAAACGCGGCCAGTAGCTTTCGATGTTTAGCTATCTACGTTACAGGGAGGTTCCGTTTCGCGCAGATCACGAGTGTAGAGTCACTAAATTTGAATGGCCGGTGAATATTTTATTTATTATAGGGACTAAAAAAAGAGACAAGATAAGAACTGCTAGAACATAGCAAATGTTAAGTAATTCGGAGCAGTCAATTTCCGGATACGTGAAATTGATTTCCGTTATGTTAATAAAAAATGGAAATCTCCTATACTCGCGAATTTCCTATCGGAGAGCAAATGTTCATTACTTAAATTAGCAAATCTTTTTTGCAATTCCGATTGTAAATGTTCTGTTTCTGTTACACACAGAAAAATACATACTGTGTATGCAAATAATAATTACATGTTTCAAATATTTCAAAAATTCATATATCTGTAAATCTATCATACGTTTATCACAAGCATCAAATTTATTGAAAATGTATTCTGAATTCTGATTTAATAAATCAATCAAAAGTATTAAGTTCAAACAAATTCGATTTGCTTATTATATAAAATCGCTTCTTCGATCAATTTTACAATATTTTTCAAAAGAAAATAAATTCTTGTTTTTTGAATAAATAATAATTTCTCCTAAAATTTCTAATAAGTTTTTATATTTTATATTTTATATGAAATATTATTATCAAAAAAATATTCTCTTACAGACAGCCGTTAGTTAAAAGAAAGAAAGTAGATTGAATAATCATTTTTCGCAGAATGACATTTTTCTGTGTGTACGATCTGTTCACTGAATAAATTTTCGATGAATACGATTTCGGATTTCATTGTACATTAAGTAACTCGAGAAGAAACGCTTTTTTTTTCCAAGCTCACTCTAGAAGGGAGCGTCAGATAGGGTATATAGTTTATTTTGAATCGAAGGGTGTCGCCAAGGAGACTTGTAACGCGGTTTATCAAGCAGGTGTAATTTACAGAATTATTTTTAAGATATCTTTAAATCGTGCTTGAATGCATGTGCGTCTTGTGAAACCCTACAGGTCTATGTAATTATATTCGATTAGTTTCGAAAATTTCAGTTTTTGCCAAATGTTTTTAATTCTAAAATTCTTTAATTTATTCTCAATACGACGAACATTAAAACGAAGCCAACGGTATCACATATATATATGTTTCTTTTATATTATTTCATTTTTATGATCTTATTACACTTTGCTACGTAAAAAAAGTTATTACAAATTAACAACTTTTCAAAATTAACAACTTTTCAAAATTAACAACTTTTCAATGCGTTTTTAAAATTCTTTCTAAATTAAAAGAATGTTTTAGTCAAGAGTGAACATACACTTGCTTTCCGTTATATTTTCATTTGTAATGTATTCTTTGAAATTATATCATGAGTTTCAAAATTGGAGCATCGCAATCTCAATATGGAATTGTGTAAATTTCATCTCTTATTGGATTGTGACACTTACAAGCAAAATATAAGCAATGTGTTAAGAAATATGTCCTTTTTTCACAACACGGATATACTAATCTTAAAGATTTCTTTTTACTATTTCTAAAAAGATGTTAATTTTTGTTACTTTTCTGTCCGTGCGCCGTCTAAGAGAAGAGTTAAAGAGAAATCAAATAAAAATTGGACATCGTATTTCACTCTTTTTCGTTCTCAACTTATGGATTTTTGGAAATTGTTTTGAATTCGCTGTCAAAGAGTGAGATGTGGCAAATAGGAGGTTTATTAAGTCGTTAATTATTTCATCTTTATATATTGTTATTTTAATTATTTAAGAAGAAGTCAACTTTTAAAAATTGTTTTAAATTCACAATCAAAGAGGGAGATGTGATAAATATTCGGTTTACTAGGAAATTTAAGGAATCGTTCAGAAGAAGCTTTTATTATTTCATCTTTATATATTTCACTTTAATCTCATTTAGTTTAGGAAGATAAAAACAAAAATTTGACATTGCATCCTTTTTATTCGCAACTTATTAACTTTTGGAAGCTGTTTTAAATTCACTGTCAAAGCGTGAGATGTGGCGAGTATTTAGTTTACTAGGAAATCTAAGGGATTGTTTAGAAGACGTAGGGATGGTTTTAAACAGCCGCGAAATGCCGGTGAACGACCCGGTGCGGAGCGTCGATGTTGCTGAGGGATCTCGCAGTCATCGATCATGGATTGATCGATATCAAGGACGTGCAGGACGAGAACACAGGCGAGCAGCGAGATCTACACGATGTGTGTGCGCGCGCGCGCGCGCGCGTGTGTGTGTGTGTATGTGTGAAGAAGCGGTGAGACACAAACGTGTGTACGTTTACAGGTGTTCGTATATGTAGTACGTGTGCGAAAGACTCACACGACGATGACGACGATGACGACGACAACGACAATGATGACGACGATGACGACAAATGTCGATCAACAGCCCGAGTGTTATATATTTTTCTCGTATTTCTTATAGAAATGGACAAGTATCACAAAAGTACACGATATAGAGAGGTGGGACTTTCGCGATTGAGTGTTTCGATTCGAGTAGTTTGTGGAGGGTGGAAGTTTTGTATACGTGGTGAATGAAGGGTGGGTGGGGGGAGGGTCTCTCTCTGACGCGTGGACGACTAACCTGCTAGCCGCAAGGCCGACATTCTCTGAAACTCAGGCTCCTGCAGCCACTTCCACATCCGCCGGAAGGTCTCGCGACCACTCTTGAGCTTGGACCAGGGCTTTGGATTGCGTAGCAAGTCGCTGAGGGTACCCTGGCTGCGACACAGCACCCGCTGTGCGAAGATCGCCTGTGGTATGCTGTACCTCTTGAGTTCGGCGCTAATGCGCTGTGCGAGCTCCTTCGTGTTGATTTCCTCGACTTCGCCGGCGCCGCCGTTGCCCGCCGCTGACACCGTCTTCATCACCACCGACGTATGTTGCACGTGCTGCGTGTGCGATATCGTCTGCTGCTGCGGCATCGACTGTTGCTGCTGCTGCTGTTGTTGTTGTTGTTGTTGCTGCTGCTGCTGTTGCTGCTGCTGCTGTTGTTGCTGCTGTTGCTGCTGTTGCTGCTGCTGTTGCAGTTGCGTCTGCATGGTTGGCGGCGGCGATGCCGCGCTTGGCACCGAATGCGTGCCAGGCGGGGAATGATGGGATGGCGCGAAACTCGCCGTAGCCGAGACCGCCGGCGGCGAGGACGGGCTAAGCGCCGCCGGGCTCTGTTGTAACCGCGGCAGAAAAGCCGGGTCGTAATGCGGACTCGCGGACGACTTGTGCGGCGAATTGAGGCCGCTCTGGCTATACGCGCTCTGAGGTGAGAGCGGACTCGGTTGCAGTCCCGCGCCCGGCGACGGATAATTGTGCGGCGGTGACATGCTCATCGTAGGTAGCTTGTCGTACGCGTATGGCGAACCGCCCATACCGAGGCCGATGTTACCCAGGCCGTTGTTCTGCATGACGGCGAAACTACCGGTGACGCCGCTGGCCGCGTGACCGCCGTAAACAAATTTATCACTCATCGTAGAGATCGGCGGTAACGGCTGCAGCGGCGTCAACGTGGCGTACGACGAGCCCGGACTAAAACCGGGCGGCGACATCCTCTCCGCCACCGAGGTCAGTGTCTGATACGTCGGCTCCGGCTGCATCGCCCTAAAGTCCGTCGCGTCGATCATGCTCGCGACCGAGACGCTGATCCCCGACGTAGGCGTTAGCTTGCCCGGACTGAGGAGCTCCGAGTCGTCGGCGTCGCGCGAGTCCACGTCCACGTCCTGAGGCGGCACGATCACCGACAGGGACTCCCGCGCGCTCTGCCTGCCACCGCCGCCACTACTACTACTACCACCACTGCCACTACCGCCGCCGCCGCCG